ATTTATAAGTTTTGGAGGAATAAATACTAATGCATCACATTTTATGCACACTAATGTGAGATGTATGTGTTTTTCCCCACGTTTTGGCAATGGCTCATATATATGGAAATCTCCCTGACAGTCATTGACAATGTATTGTGTATTCACAGGCTGTCAATTCTGCCATGAGAACAGGCACTGATGTTGAGACAAGTAAAAAATGTGAGTATCTTTGTTAATTTTTTAAACCCTTCTTTAAAATCTGATCCTATTACTTGATTCTAGACCTGGGGTCTTCAGAGACAGATTCTATCCGTAATTGCCACTCCCCAGAAGGGTCTTTATTATATCATAAGTTCGTGAAATAAGGAAGGAGTTTACAATTTCTGTGTACCTTTTCTGTCTATTACTATTAGATTCATGTGGTGGTCCCTATGTTGTCTCAGTCAGACTGTAATCCTTTGGCCCAGCACTAAATGATAGTGTTGGTGTCCATGTCCCTCCTAAGACAAATATGAATATATGCAAAATGGAAGGAATCTTTCAGCTTCAGGCTGTTTTTCTTAGTGGTCAAGTATTATGTCATAGAAATAATATGAAAGCTAGACGTGTAGATCTAGTCACTGTCTGACAACATGTCATATATGTAGAAGTGGAAGTGATGTATTATAACCCTGTCAATCCCAGGCTCTGGTTGAAGTCTTTTTCAAATACTGTGAAAGTTAATAATATTTAACTTGTTTGAAGTGAGACAGTTTTCTACAAAATTATGTCTGTTATGATGAGATACTGGTTTCCTCTTTTATTGAAAATTCTCACCAGCATCTGTAGTGTAGAGGTTAGGCCTTCTGCTGCTCTTCAAAGGAGATCTGGGTCCAATTCCTGTATGGGTAGGATTTTTATCGTTCTCAGTCTTTCTGCTGGGACTTTGTGTATCCCTCTCAGTTGGGGCCGGCCTGACTGGCAGTTTTGAAGCCTGCCTCCAAAATGATCTAGATTGTTTTGATTGGGGTGTGAAACTCACATTAAAAAATGTTTGAAAATGACAAGATTCACAATCATTTTCTAAATTTTAATTATTTATTTTTTGTTATATATTAAAAGCATTGCCTTAAATTTAGCCTGTCTAGATCCCATCGACGTGAGAAAGATTTCACTTGATCTTTGTCTCCTGGTGTTGAATGTAGACAGTTATTAAACTGTTCTCCTAATCTGACATGCATGATATTCTGCTAGGGCTGTGTACTCATGATGTAAATCTGATAAAGACAATTCTTTTTTAAAGTTTTGTTTTCCACGGAATTTTTAGCCTAGATTTCCATTGCAGTTGTAGTGTTCTAGCCAAAAATTCTATTCGTGTGGTCATGTGGTATATATATATATATATATATGGCTATGGCTTATGAATAGAATTATTGACTTGACTTCCACTAGAGCGCTCATGCGAACACCAATGATGGCTTCAAGTTGAACTGACTTTGTTGTACCCCCTTTGTCTGTTCAGTCGCTGGTGGCCAGAACAAGCAACTGTCAGCCAACAAGAACACGGCCAAGCTGGACCGGGAGACGGAGGAACTTCACCACGAGCACGTCACTCTGGACGTGAGCAAGTTGATCCAGCAAGGACGACAGGCCAGGGGCTGGACGCAGAAGGAGCTCGCCACGGTAACGTAGACTCTCCGGACACGTTTTACTGTCCCTGTACAGTAGTCTCCGCCTAAAATTTCGGTGCTCGGGCGGGCTCCTTAGCTTGTGTTTGTACGGAGCATGCGTTTACACGAACCTTTGCAAAGGGACGAAGGGACGCAATCATCTTATTGCCTTGATGTTCTAGTGACCTCCCTTATGGAGTGGGGGTCACTTTGGCCTATAATGTGACGACGTGAGGAAGGATTTCTCGACTGCGGTTATAAAACCAAAGGCGTTGAATGGGAGGGGGGTGGAGAGCAGGAAGACAGATTCAATATAATGACATTCACCATGAAAAGTCGGGAACAGAATAGATAAGAGGAAACTATTGGTGTTGGTCATAGTATAGGGACAACTGCACTGCCACCTGGCTATCCAAACGACCACCCCCAACGGTAAATTCATGGGTGACATCAGAATCATGGAGATCTACATTCTGAGAGACTTTTCTTTTATGATTGTTGAACAAAAGCTCTTCGAACTCAACTGATTAGGCTTACTTGACTAATCTTTAATCCTATTGAGGCCTATCTTGTGTTCTACAGCATTCACATGTGTTGCACACTTCATAGACCTAGGTCTAACTTAACATTACATGCAGTTAACCAAACACCAGTCAGAAACCTTCTTTCAAAGATGCATTTCGAGTGATCAATCAAACATTTCAGTCCAAAACCCCCCAACATATCACCCGACCAGACCTAGACCTATGTGTCTGTTGAAAGTTAGGTGTGAAACCTGTGTCCATTACTCTCTTTGTTGTGCGCGAGGGCCAGTCTCACTGGTTGTCTAGGCTTGCCTTATGCTAGCTGTGTATGCTGCCGCGAAAATGTCCCCTTGTCAAGCTTTACCTGTTGGCGTGTTTCGTGGATCGAAGTGTGCATTTAGAAGTGACCGTGCGCTTGTACGTCTAAATTATATAGTAAAAAACCCGTGTGTTTGGGCGGGGCGTGTTTTTGTATGGCGTCCATTTAAGCGGAGACAAATATGCTTTCCGCATGAGAAATGTAGTTTTTTTTAATTCGGTTGATAGAAAAAGCTTGTCTCATTATTTATGTCTTTCTATTTCCAATCTTTAATGGAGTTCTAGATTTGTGTTAGCTCTGTGACATGAGACTCACAGTTAATCGCTATAGTGGGTAAGAAATTTTATCTTCAGGAAAGGTACTTTGCCCTATTTTTGTCAGTTAAGGATGCCTTAAATGTGGATTCTTGGCAGCCTGTCATGAAAAACCAAGTGAATGATAATGGTATGTGCCAACAGGCTGCATTGCAAAATTTGCAGTATCTCCCCAGTGGGGATTGAGCTCGTGAATTGAATAAACTGGTAGTGTAGGCTACGAGAGTTTTAAAGTTTTGTGAGCCTTCCTTCTGAGGTAATACACAACTCTGTAAGTAAACACTAAAATGTTTTTTTCTTTCTGTGATACAATTGTTCCTCATAATAATGTATGTCCTGTTGTTGATGGTCAGAGTCTGAACTTACTCAGCTCACCTCTCTAGCTTCAAGAAGCACAAAGTCTGCTTCAACTGTCAAGGCACCCCGGAAATATGTATGTATGTCATCATACTCAGCTGTTTAAAAAGGAAATACTTTCTTATTTATTGTCAGGTATATTAACTATCAGACCTGCCTACTGAGTTTGTCTTTTGTTCTTCAATCTTTACTTCTTTCCTGGGGCGTTAATGGATTTCCTATCACACACCTATTGTCCTTATCTCTTCTCCTTTTCTTTGTTATTTACTCACCTTTAATCTTCAGCACCCCACAGGGCGGTGCTACTGACTGAAGTGTCTTTGGGACATTTGTTGTTCTAAACACAGTAGAATTTTAAATGGGCTGATCCAACGATGTCGTGCTTATAACTGTGCCTGAACTACAACAGGGAACAGCTGCTTTTTCGTTCCTAATCCTTACTAATGTCATTTTCATCTACTTCTTTTGTATGTCGTCGGTGGCCTAGTGGTTAGGCTCTCGGACTCGCAACCGTAAGGTCGTGGGTTCGAATCCTGTCAGGGACCCAACGTTGTGTCCTTGGGAAAGGCACTTTACACGAGTTTTCCTCACTTCACCCAGGTGGGAATGGGTACCCAGCTATAGACAGTGAAAGATCTTGTCAGTTTGTTAGTGTTTGAGCGCTTAAACTGCTGCTTGCACTGTATGCTTCCCGGGAAGCTGAGAATGTTTCTGAGTGTTCTATGGTCTGCTGGGGTAATAATATAGTGTAAAGCGCATAGAGCTTGCTGTCGAGCGGGGTTATACGCTGCAAATGCTATTTATTATTATTATTATTATGTTTGTCACACTCTTGTGACCCGCTATTTCCGGGGTGCCTTGATAGTCGAAGCAGACTTAGTGCTTCTTGAAGCTAGAGAGGTGAGCAGAGTAAGTCTGATTCCCTGTAAGGACTTCTCTATTGACATCCTCCCCTTGGCGTTAATATGACCTTATGCAGTTGCGAGCGCCGTAAATCCTCTACTAAAACAAAACAAAAATCTACAGCGCTTTTATGACCTATTTGTATTGCAAGTGAAGTAAAACTTCTTTCTTTCACAGAAAATCAATGAGAAGCAGCAAGTGATCAATGACTACGAGGCGGGCAAAGCTATCCCCAACCAGCAGATTCTGAGCAAGCTGGAGAGAAATTTGGGTGAGTGCTGGATAAGTGACAAGAAAATAGTACACTGGAAGCTCTAAGTAAGTACCGCAAACTGGCCTTGCGCCCCCGTGGCGCACTGTCACGGAGACCAAAACCCATATTTTTACCCTCCTAAAACACTGTGTGATCATGCATACACACAGACACTTGATATATCAGAAGAAAGAGGAGCTTTTCCTCTTTTTAGTGGTATTATTTATTTGAATCAACGATTTTTTTGAAAGCCAAATCTTGTGGGATAAAAGACAACACTCTCGAGGTTTTCACTGCAGCGGCTGCGCGTTTTGTGTATTGATTTTTACAGTGACCTCGGTTGAACAGGAACGGGGAGCGTATGGTATTAAATACTGCAATCTTATTCATCGATATTTCAAGATGAGAAAATGCGCTTTCCGGTGATATATTTCTAAAAACTGTCCTTAAAGAATTAATAGAAGAGATTTGCATGTGAAAACTTTCTATGCTGTTTTTTTATCGAACCAGCGATCGGACTGACTTATGGAAATACAGTCAAACCTGCCCAGACGACCACCTCTATAAGACGGCCACCTGTACAAACGGCCACTTTCCATTTCCCCCCTTGCATTTTTTCTATATAATTTAACTGTGTAAAACGAGCACCTCTCCTACGCGGTCGCGGCCAACATAATTTTAACACACAATCCCTATCACACCAAGCAATAACACCTGTCTTAGACGGCCGTCTTAGTGACTCCATTACGTTTAGTCATAAATTGTGCATTTGCCCCTGGCGTTGCGGGCGAGCCGTCATAATTCAATCACCTGTCGTTGTTGTTAGGTAGTCCCTCCTACTGATCATGTTGCATAGGCCCCTTCCACTGTTGACCAATAGCTACCAATTTTCAGCTGCTGGTGAGGTAAGTGTGTGATCCCTCATAACCCATAAGCCCCGCCCAGAACTCATATACAAATCGTAAGGGAGATGAGTGGTCACTGTTTACCCAGTCTGTAACAACAAAGTACGTCAACATGAACTTGTGACAGAAGCATTGCTCATTCTACGAGTGGTGGCGACCCATGTCTTTGTTTTAACATAGCACTCAGTCTTCCTCGTCTGATACATTTTGTTTTATTGTCACCTTTGCGCAAAATCAGCAACAAAATAAAAACTACACACAAAATACAAACTACCACCAACAACAAAAACAACAATAATGCGGCTACTTTCGATTGGGACCTCAGATGGGAATGGTTTGTTTTCTTCATCTTGATCAGTCCTGCCTAAGACGGCCACCTGTCTTATATGGCCACTTTTCTCCTTGACAATGGGCGGCCGTCTTACACAGGTTTAACTGTATATCGGCAGAAAGCCCATTCACCCGAGTGGTGGGTTTTAACCTCCCCTTGTATTTCTTGCCGATTTGGTCAAAAAGCCATGTTTACGTCAATAAATTATCATCTTCTGGTTACATGATACCCCTGAAAAAAAATTGGGCTTGTTTTCTATGTGCATGGGTGTGTGTTTACGAGTTTTTGTGAATGTCAATTCAAATTCAAGAATGTTTTGACGTCTCAAAGTTCAGACATTTCGCAATCTAAAAAATTTAACATTTTTCTGCAACTTCAGATGTTCATAAACTTTGTTAAAATGAAGCTATATGAATAAATTTGGTATCAAAATGCTCAGAATAATACATTCTATAAGGTGGTGCAGTTAACTATGAAATCAGAGGACTTTGAAATTTCAGTCTGTGGTACCTACTCTAAGTTACAAAACTACTTGAGTTACTTTAGTGTTTGTGTGGGTACTTCCCCTAACAGGTTTGGCAGGGCAAGAAAGTCTAGTACTCTTATTCTACTCTATTGGTGATCATAGGAGAGGCTATCATAACCTCTCTACATTTTTTGGATTAGCAGTTTCATAAGTTTATGGCTTTGTCCGTGACTTAATGATAAAGGGGCACTTTGTCATTTTGGAAAGTGAAGGACTTTTTATCTCGCACTTTGTTAATGAATTTTTTTTCTCAAGGTTTTTTTATTTTTTTAAAAATATACGTGAAATGTTACATGATAACCTCGCATGAAGCTGAGACGAGCCATTTGATAAGGTACTTTGAAAAGTGAACAGCGGTGCAGCTGATATATATATCTGTCTTGAACGAAGTACAGCCTGATGCATTTTTCGAATTTAACTCTTGTCCTGCATCTGTCCTGAGATGCAAATCTTATCAGCAACTGATTACATCAGACTTTCCAGGCAGGCCGCCGGGGTCACTCAGTGTGTACTGTTGATGTACTGCGCACGCGCGGGGAAACATGTGTTTTCGCCATGAATACCGTGGGACACGGGGTAGTGTGTTATTCCATGATGAAAATAACGCTCTATCTTTTATAGCTTTCTATTTATAAAGTGTTACAAACACATGAGCTGATAGGATATTTTACGAGTATTCGAATAACCTTTCTAGACGCTCTTGTTGTTATGAATGACCTGAGGTTCGAAAGCGGTTAATATAGGTCAATTTCCAAATGTTTTGCACTCAAATTGCAGTTTGTACCTGCACAATGGTATTCCATCAAACAAACTTATTTTTTATCAGGTAGTATCATTTCATACAAAATCAAGCTCCTTTGAAAGATTTTGTATAGAAAAATGGAAGTCTTGTTTCCTGACTATCCTTTTGAGCTCCTCATGTCTAAGTGGGTCAATTTCTTCTATAATTTCATTGGCCGAAATCTAGAGCTTCCAACTTGGCTTGTTTTGAATGAGACGTATGCCTCGATTACGAACCAACGCAGGCGGTTCTAGAAGAAGGCCACAAACGCACACAAACTCAAGCAGACTGACGCGCGCACACTTGACCTGCGTGAATGGGGATCCGACTCGGGACCCGAATTTCACGTGAGATGATGCTCTCGGTGCGCGTGCGCTGAGCCAGGGGCTAGACTGACTCGGGACCAGAACGCAGGCGAGGTGCCGAAATAGGCTTATCGGGCGACATAAACCCGGCCCCCGCAAGATGAGGGTTAAAATGGATATCCCCCCGAAGAGTTCTTAATCTTTTTCCAGCATATCCACTCACTCCCTTGTCTTCAACTATCCTCTTTGCTGCCACTGTAGATTTAGATCTACGAATTATGTCTTTCTTATCATGCTTCTCACTCTCGATTCAATCATCACCCGAATCAGAATCTTAAGCTAAGTATCTCTGTCCTCAAGTTTACCAAAGAAAAATCCCCTGGTCTGTTTTACAAGTTATAGGCCTATGGGGTAATTTGCTACCAGGCCCAGAAACTAGAACTAAAAATTTGTGTGGTCGTCTTTCATGTTTTGGTTTCCCAAACACACCACACAAAATACCTACAAGTTCAACTTTCCACCCACTTACGTAGTTATAGACACTATATTTCAGCGCAGAAAATTTCTACTTTTGAGATTTATTTATATCAGAACTTAAAATTGTGGATCGAGCATTTACGAAATAAACAAAGTTTGAGTATAGCCTGTGCCGATGTATCAGCAATGAGCGCAAATGGTGCGGTCGTGCTGTCAATATATCAATAATGGGCAGAGAATGAGTTAAGTAAATTTGAACACACAGTTGTTTAACATGCAGTGAACAAAGGGCAAAAAACAGAACTTTATTATCTTTATTAGGGGTTTTTTTTTCCCCACAATTTTTCCCCCTTCATATGAAATTTCCAATGATGGTCCCAATAAACATTTGAACAAATATAAAAATAGTAAGTTTTTCTCAATCAGTTTTGCTTGAGTGAGTAAAGATCTCGATGTTGTGCTTATAGTTCTGGTACTAGATCTGGAATCCCGACCACTGGATGGGGCTAGGTCACTGCCACTGAGCCCGGTATGATCGATCTCTCCATCTCCATTATTGTCATCAGTTCTTGATTGAAATGTAGTTCTACCACTACTCTTTCCACTATTTTTCTGGATTATATTCTGGATCCCTTTCACTATCATAACCTTCTAGATCAGTTTCCAAACCAAAACCATCATCATACGCGGTGAATATTTCTTTCTTCCATTTTCACAACAACACTACTCTGCATACTTTGTGGATGCTTTGTTTCGTTTTTCCGCTACTCCGGCTGACTCTGGTCCCTTTTATTTGGCTCTCGATAACTTATCGGCCTCAGAGATACGAATATAAGTCTTAGTAGCTCAAGACTGGCCAAACAAGGGCACGAGACGGATCACCCGACTCGTGCGTGATTTGTATAGCGGAAAAAAAATTCCATAGTTGATCACGCAGGGCCTGTGGAAACTGTCGCGAGCGTGGCAGCGATGGTCACGCAACTGTTGCGGGAACCGTCTGAAGTGAGTTGATGGATTATTGTCTTTACTCTAATGATATGAAGCATATGCCTTTGGTGGCAGCAGCAACTTAAGTGAGCAATTCGTGTATGGGTTTTCTAATTTTCAGAGTAAAGCTTATAACTTATTCTATGAGGAAAAATAATTTTGTTCTCCATTGTAGTCCTCTGTGATGTCATGTTTGGTTCTAGATAAATTATGTTCTGCTCCTCAGGCATGAAACTGCGTGGAAAGGACAAAGGCCAGCCGTTGGGAAAGAAGTAGAATGACGTCCACCTGTACAGCTGGCCTGCATGCCCTCACTGCCATAGTAGTACGTCCCACATGGTGGGGAGGATACGCTCTCGCTCCGGACACAGCCCGCAGGCGTTTCATTGTTTGCATACTCCGAGGATGCGGCCAGTCATTCGTGGCCAGGTGGCCTGCGTTCATCTATTCTATATGCCTTTCTGTTCATTGTTCTCATCACCCACTCCGTGTGTCCTGACACAGCCCTCTGGGTCGACTGGCGGGGGCTTGCACAGCTCTGAGGAGGTGGGCGTTGGACAGGTACAGGCTCTCCGGCAACTTGTCTTCCTCAAACGAGTTAGTTTTTCTCGTCTTTGTTGCAACCGGTCAGACTGTGAGGATTGGTTCATTCAAGCTCTCTTGGGGTCGTGTTTCTCTTTCTGTCAGGCTGTTAGCTGACAGTGGTTTTGGGGCTCGCTTTTTTTTAAGCTGACAGTTGCCTCCAAAGTCATATAAACTGTTTTGGTGCAAACAAATATGGCAGGGCCTGGTGCTAGTCTAGTTTTTATATGCAGTCCTAAATAGCAAGTTGTGTCTTTGAGTCTTCCGATTTCTGCCTCTCTGCGCCCCCGCCCCAACTTCGTCTATACTCATAATTGTGGTCTCATTTAGGATAGAAGTCCTGCTGTAACCATGTTTATGAGTACGGTATCTTTATAGTGAAAATGTATTGACTTTTGCAAAGTCCGTGAAAATACTCAAAAGTTTTTGATACAACGTTTGCTAATGTGTGTGTGTACTGTAGGCTGTGTTTGAGTATCTGGAAAGCACTGTGATGTTAGTCTGTATGAGAGGTTCTCCAGGGTTATGAGCTCACAGCTCATAGATCAATTGCTTTCTTTGGTAAGAGAGGTGTGTACTTTCTGAGATCAAATGTTCTTAATTGAACAGCTTAGGCAAAGTTCACCATGTAAAGATCTGGTACAAAGTAAAATAAAAAATGAGAGAATCGAACAAGTGGCTGTGGAGGCAACTGTTAGCTGCGGTCTGCTGTGTTCCTGTTGTTGTTTTGCTAAGCTGTGCCAAGATCTGGCACAAGGATAGAAGTATTCTTCTCTCTTCCAGGGTTTTTGTTTTCCTTTGATGGAAATTAGTTTTAATTTTTTTGTAGTTTTATCCTCACAAGTTGCCAGTGTGAAGTCAGTGCTTGCCCCACCCCCTCCCTCTCCTCCTCTCCTGCCGCTGTTCTACTTCTGTCTCTGTCTCAGTTCATTCCACTCTACAGGTTATCGTTCATCACAGACTCATCAATCCCCTCCCTCCTTTGAGACTTCTGCTTCATCCGTTCAGATATTGTTGGCACACTGAGAAATAAAGCGTTTTTAAACTCAACAATCGTCTTTGTCTCTTGTTGTACTCCCTACATGTATGGATTGTGGGTTGTTTGGCGGGTGCTCTGGTGTGATTTGCTCTTTTTTCCTGTAGGACATCTATTTTCCTTATATTATCTCTCCCTTTTTAGTGTATGTTACTCTCTAGTAACACTTCACTAATTTTCGGCTCTTATTTGACATATATTTATTTTGCAAGTGCTGTTTAACTCTTCATAAAGCTAACACAACTGGCTGACCTTTTGTCACTTTGTGTGTTGCACTGTGATGTGTCACATTCACACACTGATTGTTCGTGGATGGTTGGTGGATGCTCTGGTTTGGTTTTCTCCTTGCCTTTTGAACATCTACCATCCTCATAAGTAGCTCCTCCTTTTCATTGTATAGGACTCTTTTTAATAAGACCTCTGATTTTCAACACTTGTATGTCTTATTTGTGTTGCAAGTGGCGTAAAACTATTACAAGAAAAAGAAAGAAAATCCAACTGATTGTTCCTTGTTGTCCCTCTTTTGTTTTTGTTTGTACTGAATGATGTGCGTGATGCTTCCTGTTACTTCAATTCGAACACTCTGACATATGGTCACGTGGTTCAGGGTTGAATATTTAATTTTAGTAAGAGTTCAACGGCACCTGCAACACAATAAGGTCATATAAGTGCAGAAGATTAGAGATGTTACAAGATGGTAACATTAACAAACACAAATAGAAGGAGGGGAGATAAGTGGCACTTATTTATACCGAGGAGACCCGAAAAGACAGCCGAAAAGACACGAAAAGACACTAAATGACCCGAAAAGACATACATGGTTTATTTATTCATTGTTTATTTATTTGTTGTTTATTTATTTGTCACAAACAGATCGATAATATCTAGGCTACACAGCCGTGGACAAGACATGACTCGGACCCCACTTTGCATCACGCTTTTCATCATCCTCAGCATGATCGTCGTCAGCACTTCTGTAAAAACAAAAATAATGTCAATCCCTTGTGGAGCTACTCTTTAAAAAATTAAAACACTTACACTGACACTCATTTCTTTCATTTGCTTAAAGGGGGTCCTCATCTCTTCTCCTTCTTTCTTGTGTTGACTGTTTGTTACTCTCTTGTAACACCTCTGAACTTCGGTACATATTATAGCACCTAATATTGTGTTGCAATGGCCATTAACTTTAACCAAATAAAAAAAGAATAAGTTATGGGAGACAGGTTCTAATCCCTGTACTTTCTGTGAAGTTTACAATTCCAAGGTTCTCCACCCACTTTGCATGGTCATACTGAAGGTGGATACATGTATTAGTAGAAGTCCTACCTTACGTTTAGGTGACTTTGTGGGTGGTTGGAGGGTGTCACTGGTGGGTCCTACTTTTTTTTTCTTTTCCTTGGTTGTTTCCGTCTCATCTGTCTTACTTTTTCACAGCACTAAATGATCTTTATAGTGTTCACAGGCTTCTCTTCTCTCAAACAATTAGATCATTTAGTTAAAAGGGATACAGTAGAAGTAGAACATGACTATAGCAGGACCTTACCGGAATCCTCTCAATTACCTGTACTTGGACTTGACTTGGGTTTAAAGGGGCAAGGAAAGGCCCGAACTCGGGAGAGATCGAGCGAGCTCTAGCTGGAGGGAAGGGAGTGTAGGGCTCTAGGTGGGCTTCACACAGGGAATCAGCTGTACGGCGTTGTGATTGGCCAGTCAAGTGATGAGTGAGGTGGGGCACGCAGCAGAGACAGATGGTGCGGAGAGATGCGTTGCGTGATGTGCCATAGTCCTAGGCCTAAGCAAGGCCAAAAAGACAGTAAAAGAAGAGGAGACCGTGTAGTGTGTGATTTTTCAGCATTTCCCCTTTGCATTCCTATGGCGGGAGCTTGCCTACAGAAGGATTTTTCTTCTGGAACTAAAAGTCCCGCTATAGCCACATTCTACTGTGTAGCGTTAACAACCATCCTTTCTAGAGGTCAACAGGATAGGTTAAAAGTGAAATTATCAAAATCAAAGATATCCATCAAGAGAATTCCATTGTTCATGTACATTGACAAAGTGTTAATGATGGTTCCCACAAATGCTTTGAACGTGCAATTTAAGGTCATCAGCTGACAAAAAGAAAATATTTCTTTTACCATCTATGAAACTTGAAAGAATGGGTGAAAGAGCATCTGAATATCAAGGCCCTTAGATCTGGAATGCTTTGCCCAGTAGTAAAAGAGAAATCGAATCTTTTAATTAATTCAAATGTCGCCTGAAGTCAATTCTGTTTTTAAATGAATGAGATAAATATTTAGAGAGAGATTTTCTTTTTGTCAGAACACAATGAACTGGTTATACGTGAGGCACCGTGGTGAAATCAGGCCCTCATCATAATAATTAAACTGAAGAAAACAGCATTTCTCTTCCTGTTTGGCAATTTTTATGGAATCATTATTTTTTTTGCTCAACATCTTTTATCTCCATTTAAAAGCACATTTCTCTGTGTCTTTACTTTCACTGAAAAACTTTGATAATAAAAGGCACAAAAAAATGGAAATTTTACAGTTTCCAAGGACTTTCGAAGTCACCAAACTTTGGAGGCCATTTTCAGGCTAATTAGAACTCTGAAACCAGATAACCCTTACCTCCTTTAATCTGATCAATCTCGACTTCTATAAAAATCTATTGAAGACTGCTCTGTGTCAGAGTATGACTCCCTCAATTACACACTGAGTTGTAAATTTGCACAAATTATGTATATGAACTCTCCAACCTTCTTTTGTCATAAAAGTAAAAGGAGACCTGGGCTCGATCCCTCTTTATGTTTGTAATTTGTAACAAAACCCCAACACAAAGAAATGGGGAGAAGCGCTCCAAGACAAAATGATGGCTCTGTAGAGCCGGGCTGCCGTACGCTGACCAAATGCCCCTTTTTTTAGTCACAGATTCTTCATAGCACAACCATTTAGAAAATTTGAATTCTAATTTATAAAAAAACTAGTCCCCATAGTTTCACTTCCATTTTCTCTGCACAAGTAGGGTAACTGATCAGGCTTTGGATTTAGCAAATAAAAAAGGGGAATCAAAAATGAAAAAAAGGTGGTTTGTCAGCTTATGGCAGCAGGGAAACACAAGTCAACACACTGAGACAAAAGACGATACAAACTGCTGACCAGTACGAGGGACACTAACTCATCACAGACTACAGACTGGGGCGTGGTTTCATACAGACAAGCGACAAGTTTTTAGATAATGTAGGTTCTGAGGTTCTGTTTATTCAAATTGTATAAAATAATTCGTTGACTGGAAATATTCAACACTGGTATTCAAATTCAACAGAACTGAATCACTTCATCAACATCCATCAATGCCCGAGGGGTTCACGGTTCAGTCAAAATCTGTTAATAACTGTCACAAGACTGTAATAATGATAACAATTGTAATAATATAACATGTGAACCGAAATGACACTAGTTCATCTATCAACATAATGACCAATACACCTCTGCAGAGGAGAATACAGTGGAAACCTGATATAACAGGGATGGTGGGAGTAGAGAAAAAGTCCTGTTATATCCGATCCCTGTTAAATCAGAAATGCAAGGAAAGTAAGCATTTGTGGACTAATCCAGCTGTACTTATTCATGGGTAGTTTCCCTTGCCACAAGTACCCACAAACAGGGGTTTTGGCACTCACTTTCTCCTTGCCTCCTTAAACCACATCAGAAGAGCTTGGTCCACAGCATCTGCTTCGGGTAGTCTCATCTTCTTTCGATCCAGATCTTCTCTCTATCCTTGATATAATGATAATGGTGTGAATCGATCCTTGTGGAATGTCGAACTGACAACAAATCTCTGCCAATGGAGCTTGCTTTTTGTCAGCCTGGATTATTTTGTATTTTTTTGTTAATTGAAAGGCATTTTCTCTTGCACTTGACATCGTTGGTGACACATTACACGTGCGTGTTGCTAGGTTTCGGGCCAGATCGAGGTCTACAGCACACCGCAGCCCTCTCTCGTTTCACACGCTGCGTATGCTCGCAGTGGCATGTCTTGCGTGGGCTTGCTCCATCACTGCGTTATTCTCTCTCTCTCTTACTTTTTACACATTGTTAACGAGCCTTTGTCCCTGCTATAACCGGTTGGGCTCCGATGAGGCCCTGTTATTGTCGATAACTTTTAATAGTGACAAAGAGTAGGAAAAAACGGGGATTTTTTTAATCCCTGTTATTACCGGGCGTTATATATGGTTTCCACTGTATTTTTTGCTGAAAGAGAAATAATAGATAATAGATGAGGATTATTAAGATAACTTGTGGCTTCTGCTATGGCCAATAATACCGTACCATTTCTAGCAGAGAAAAGTTTGCCACATTTTGAGCATTTGAAAACTTCATTTCCACTTGTGGGTATGCACTGCTTGCTGGCTTCTCTCTTGTTAATTAAGCATTTCTAATTTGTGAAGCATCATATGATTTGCAACCCTCTGTGACTGCTGTTCTAAAACTGCGTCTGTCATGATCTAAGTTGTTCCGTATCAAGGGATTAACACTGAAGTCCTTCGGAGAACCACAACAATATAATACACAGTCGGGCATAGACAACTCAAACACGCCGGGGACTGACTGACACTTGACTCATCCATAATTTGAAAAAAGAGATAAAAAATAAAAGAGACATCTGAAGGAGAAAGACAAATTGTACAAGCTATCTGTGATTTCCAGTTTTTCATGTTCCTGTCATTTGAGCCAGAATGTAAATATAACAGAACATATATATGGTAGTTCTATCTAAACCTTTCATACGACCACAAGGTTCTCTTCTTTTTAGAAAAAAACCTTTCACAACAAGAGATTGATACCACAGACAATAAAAGCACTGAACTTCTGCAGTCTCATTCATACAAAAACACAATGCTCACGAAGAGTAATACAAAAATATTACTGAAACCTAAAAATTACAGTCGAATTTGTCCATTAAGACCACCTATTGTCAGATAGAAAACTGATCATCATAGACAGATGGTCTTCTTGGACAGAGTCATTATAATGTATAAAAATGCAAAAGGTAGGCCTATATGAAGTGGTGTATTGTAAAATACCAATACTTCACTATTACAAAATCTTTTTTTAAAAACCCACACTAGTCTTAATAAGGGTGAAAGCCTGAGACAGAGACAAAGTGAAAGTAAGTAGACAAAATAGCTGGCACTATACTATAAAGGGTATACATATGTACATTTTTATGAACGAGCCTATGTTACAATATGTGCATTATAAAGAGCTGAGTAGGTATCTATGGCAAGTCAATGAACAGTCATAAATAATGAATTACATTGGACACTTGTCAGCTGGAGAAAAACTATACGATCACAAACCCTGTCTGAGACTCAGGCTGAAAGTGGGGATGGGGGGGGGGAGGGAGAGTCTGGTGCTATAAAGTGTACATTGTCATCTTAATATATGAGTGAATCGGAGTCTAAGGCAAATCAATACGATTATAAGTCATATAAATTTTCATTCGACATTACCAGTTGAAGAAAACTAAAGAACATGAATTCTGTCTGTGAGGTTGTCTTACCAACCTTGGACATCTTCTCCATGACTGTACATCATGTAGCCTACAGCTATAACCTCAGAGTTTCAGAAAATACTATGAGACAAGTGCCTGGTTTCACAGAGGCTGAAAGTCTCCGTCTCCCTAAAGAAAGAAAACTATTCCTGGTTAGCCTAGATAGTAGTACATAGTACATGTACATGTTCACTTTACTTGCTTTGTCCATCAAACAAACTCAAGAAGTAGAGCTCAAAAACTTTCTGTTCCTATTTCAGGTTGGTATCCATGTCTCAATTCAAATTCAACAAGTATAAAATGCAAACATTAAAAATGGCCAATTTAAACAGGAATTGAGCAAAAAAAAAATTTTTTAATTAACAACTACCGGTACTCATGATTTTGATAGATTTAGAGACAAGGTTTTCAATTTTAACAACAAAGTAAAATTTTCACCAGAGGTCAAAAGCAGTTCTAACTCAAGGAAACTTCTGCACAGCTGGTGATGACGGTGCTAATTCATCACTCAGAAATCTGCCGAGGTTCAGGAGCATGTATCTGAATAACATAATCATAAACATTTTTCTTCCTTAAAATAAGCCTGGAGTCCATGTGGTGTATGCATAGAATTTTATCTTTAAAATACAGTGAAGTCCATTTATATATATCGAAATCTATTGGACCATTGGATTTTCTTCTGAAATTTTTCAAATAGAAGAGAAAAAAAATCTGGGATTCTATGTTCTTTCGGTGAACAGCTGTTTTCAGATTAAATCATGTTCTTTTTAAGCTGGCTTCACTGTTAATCTATTTTTGGTTAACAATATGTACCCCCAAAAAATCCTTTTTGCAGGTGGGTAGAGTGGATGCTGCCTTATATATTGAATCCTGAAACTAACAAGTGACTTTTCAAGATGAATAAATGAAACTGAATGTAGCAGTAGAAAATAAGCACTTTCTTCAGTGTCTCATTCTGGGGTGGAGTGTGGAGGGAGGGCAAAACCTGTGTCAGCTCCTTGCTCACCATTTCCGGTTCCACAAGTTTTCTTTTTTAGTTCATTTTTTTTTTTTTTTGGTAACTAACTGTCTTATGGCCTCACAACTCCATAAGGTCATATAACCGCATTTCCACAAGTTTGCTCCCACCTCCACCTCCACATACATTTGATCATACAGCAGAGTACAGTGGAACTCGGATTCAACGAGATGAGACAGATTCCTCATTTTTTTTTCTTCGTTAAAATCAATAAAAATAACCTGGATTCAACGAGCACTTAAATCAGCGAGCTCGGATTCAACGAGATCGCTTCCAGGGTGAACAGCCCCCGCAGACATGGCTTCGCTCATTTTTCTTCCAGAACAAACTTTATCTATTCCCAGAAACCATCCATTGCACCTGCATCATGAACCATTATTCACTTAGCCTACAGCATGCGACCAATCAGCGGCCTTTTTTCATACCAACACACGCGTTGTTAGCACACGCACGTGTCTACTCTAGCATGTGTCGGGGTCGGATGGGCGGCTTGCACACGCGTGGCTGTGTGTACGTGTCTGGGGGGGAGGGGGCACTAGCGGTCCGGGCGTTGAACGTCGCAGATACAAACGCGTCAGTCTTTTTTCCACCTCGGCAACTGATCATTATTACAATAACCTAGTCTTGACGTAGATATCTACATAATGAATTGTGTGCTGGTCTATGGAATCAAAAGTTGCCGCATGCTAGGCTCTACACAGCAACACAACTTTTTGGTAAACAATCGAGATGACACAGGCGTGTGCATTTGAACGAATAGGGTCTTTTTTTACACAGCTCATACTATGCAGGCATTTCAGGCACTACTTGTGACTTCTCTTTATACATTACTTGCCCAGTGCCCGTAATTATCTAAACAAAACCTCATGTTTGCTATAACGAACACTCGGATTCAACGAGATTTTAGGTCAGGCCCGGCGACCTCGTTGAATCCGAGTTCCACTGTACTGAGTCATAAAAGTACAATCAATGTACCCGCATCTAAACTTCTACCAGTTTATTCTTTTGACAAGTTTTAAATCCTTTTAATACCAGTAGAGTAGAAAGTCATATAGACTCTTAGATCAGATACAGTTCCCTCTCCATTAATCTTTCCACCTATCCAGAAGCCTGACAGAGGAAGGATATTCTGTCAATATTTGATAGTCTGTGCAGTGTGTCACGACCGTTCACAATCTCTCTTGGAGCAGTTTTCACTCAGTACGCAAGTATACTCAAAGCCGATGTCCTCTGAATGTGTCCCCTCCTACGCTTGATGCACTCTCACATAAAGAGACCTCCTGAAAAATAAAATAAAAAGTCAGTTGCTACCTTGGCCTTGACCAATCACTTTACATACATCTTGAAAAACTTAAGAATCTCAGTCTAAAGGTAGGAGAAACAAAGAGACAATTCATGCAATTAACTACTGTATTCAGTGGGCGTGGCAACTTCTGAAAGGGCAGATTGAGCATGTGACAGAACCATGAAATGATGCTGAGGATTTACACAATCTGGAAGGTGGGGGGGAGATGACATCACTCCCACACCCTGGCTACCTGTTTATTCTGTTTTTATAGTATCATAGATCAGATAGGTATAGCCACATTAGATTTCTTTAAAAATATATCTGTAGCAAGGTCTAAAATTTGATAAGTACTTAATGTGTGAAATTGGCAGAACTTCAGCAGAAAAAAAATGTTGAAACACTTCGTCAGAAGCATCCTTTACTGCTCGTAGAAAGACATTCTGTCACACTGGGTTCTTAGCTGCTTGTTCACATTTCAGTTTGACATGAAGTAGATGATAAACATTCTTTTAGTTTTAGTAAGAGTTTTATAGCCCTTCCAATACAATAAGGTCACATAAATGCTGAAGATTAGAGGTGTTACAATTACAAACACAAAAAAGGAGGAGAGACCAGGACGATAGATTTTTTATAGGAAAGAAAGAGCAAACCACACTAAAGCACTGGCCAACCACCCGCTACAAAATGCTTTCATGAGGATTCTTTCTCCTTTCATTGGTAACAAAGCTTGTCGGTTTCATTAAAAATTAAAAGGAAAGTAATGAGTACCGACGATCACCTACAACTATGAAGACTTACCCGTGACTTCGATGGCAGCGCCGGTGACGTAGCTACTTCTGCTAGAGGCCAGAAAGGCACAGACCTCAGCGACCTCTGGGAGAGAAAAACAACAGAACAGCAGATCATGTTGACTGAGTTAGTGCACACGATAGACTTGTGTCATGCTGCTAGCCGTGCTAAACCCTCAAGCTTGGCTTATGTTCGTCTCAAGGTTTGCAGCATAACAGGCTTTGACTAAATATATGCACAGAATGTATCCAACAAGTATCTTTCCCAGTTACTGTTTTTTCTAACTCTGGGAAAAATATCTCCCCAATTTTTGGATGGTTCTGTAAAAAAATCTATGAACGTGAAGTTTGGTCCCCAAAAAATGGGAGTGCTTATTTAGGCAACAAATGGCCTCAATAAGGTCAACCCCCCCCCCACCTGACATTATTTAGGCCACCTGTGGCTACCATTTTGGCACACATTGGTCAAGTGAAAAGATCAAATCCTCCGAATGGACTTCCGGGTCAAATTTAGTGTATAAAAAGTGTGTACACAGCGTGGCTGAGTCAAAGTTACACTATTTTGCCTGAGCGGCACTCTCTCGTACTGTCTTGTAGTAGTACATGTAGTAGTAGTAGTAGTAGTAGTAGTAGTAGCAAAGATCGTGTAGAGAATCTTTGGTAGTAGATCTGGTAGGCAATTTAGTGAACGTGCACGCGGCAGGGCGAATCGGCCTCGATACGCCCCGTAGACTTTTGTAACCAGCCACGAAGCCTCATGTTTTGACGGGTCTAAACAGCTCAGTGTTAATTGCACTGCCACATCCGACAGGCCTACATCTTTTTAAAAGGAAAAGAAAGATCATCAAAATGGTTGTATTCGCGTAGAACTGTAAATATTAAAATTTGCTTCTGAAAACAAGGCAATTTTTACAACGCGATGAAATAAAATCTACTGGCTGTGTTATTCTGTATATAAAGTATGAAACTTCAGGATGTATTATTATTTTCCAACATCTTTTGACGCCTGAGCTGTATAGGTTGAAGTTTTCACAACACTAATAGATCTAGTAATAGGGCTTTCCGTATAAAGAATTGCACAGAGTTCTAGTTAATTTTAGATTCAGCATCAAACTATATTTCCAGAGTTAATAATATCAAATCTCACCATAACAATCACTTTTACTTTTATTAGAATAATTAGATCCAAAAATGTTAAAATCTGTTTTGCGCAAACTTGAGATTTTCTTTACTAGTAGAGCACAGAGTTTCAATTGTAAGCCTCTGCTCAGTCTTTCAGTATAAATACATATAATATAATCATGTTATGTTATTTTCTGGATATTTTAAAAACTATTTAATTATCAAATTGTGCCATTTTCGTTGATAATAAGAATAGCATTAGCAGTGGACTTTTTATACAGCGAGTCTGTGATTCAATATATATTTTTTTTAAATTGTGCTAATCAGTGAAAATTGCTAATTGATAATAGTCCTGTAGAGGATAGGTGGACCCCGCGATCTGCATAGTGAAATACTAGGTTTTAGGATATGAACCCCGGAGTCACCATAGTAAAATAAGCAGGTTTAGTTTAAGTAAGGATTGGTTGACCCCGGGGTCAACGGAGTGAAATAAAAAGGTTTAATTAAGGTGGACCCCGGGGCCTGGGGTCTAACTAGTGAAATACTAGGTTTTAGGACAGGTGGACCCCGCGGTCACTGTAGTGAAATAAGTAGGTTTCTTTAAAGATTGGAGGACCCCGGGGTCACCATAGTGAAATAAGTAAGTTTAATTAAGGATTGGTGGACCCCGGGGTCACCATTGCCGTAGTGTAATAAGACAGTTTAATTAAGGATTGGTGGACCCCGGGGTCACTGTAGTGAAATAAGTAGGTTTAATTTTAAGGATTGGTGGACCCCGGGGTAACCATGGCCGTAGTGTAATAAGACAGTTTAATTAAGGATTGGTGGACTCCCGAGTCAACTTGATTAAACCTACTTACAGTCCGTGCCGGCTATAAGCACGCCGGCTCAAAGCACGTTTCAGACCCAAGCACGCTAAACGGCTCTTACTGAGTTTTTGCAATATAAATTACACGCCTTTAAGCACGGTAACTTCGGCTTCAGGCACGCTTCATTACAAGACAGTCAATACTTTTATGATGACCCATCGAAGTTCGAACACAGTCTACACCGCAGCAGTGAGTGTGCTAAGAGAAACACAAAGAACGCAAGGGATGGAGACAAACACTCTCACGGGCGGAGAGGAAGACCGAGAGATGCACACAGCCGCGCGCGTGGACATAGGATCTATCCTAGGGCAAAGTTACACACAGACTAAAAAATACAAAGAGAGTCAGGGAGTCGAGAAAAGGCAGCTGGCTGCGATTTCACCTTTGACCCTTGCTATCCATAATCATTAATCCTGATTGTGTATCACGCGCGAGGTGGGATGAAGGCGGTGGTATGAATGTGGCACAGCGGGCAGTCTCTCTCTCTTCTGGCGCTGTGGCTTCATAAACGGTCAGCGATGCCGACAGCACGCAGGAACTCAACACTCGCCCGGGGGTCCTTAAAAAGTGCTGAAAGTGGGTTACTAAAATGTCCCAGCAGACGGGTTTTAGCACGATAGCTGGCGGGGCATCTCAGGAACACATGGTCCATAGTTTCATCCTCCTCCTTGCAGGCTCGACAGGACGGATCTGGGTTGTCTGCTGGCGCAATTTTGTGGAGATATGATCTCAGCTTGGGCGATTTTCCACCAGTTCTCATTTGGGAGAGAAGCCGGCGGTCCTGCCGTCTGAGCGAGGCCTCAAGCTGGTACGACGGCAGCTGGGCAAACGGCAGTTTGGGTTTCGCCTCTCTTTTCCACTTTGCGCGGATCGATCGGTGGATGACGGCTTTAGCTGTCGAGAAATCGATTGGCGTGTCAATCTGGGTAAGCGCTGTTGCTTCTTTGGCGATGCTGTCAACTTCCTCGTTCCCAGCCAGTCCAGCGTGGCCTACAGCGGGCAGTGGTACACACAGGCAGCGTGTAGGCCTAGTGTACTGTATCGTGACTGGGGGTCTAAATTAAGTTTTCATTTCCCATTCGACCACAAAACAAAAACAAACAAGCAAACGAAAACTACCATGGCGGGTAAAAATAACAGTGCACACTTTTGCGGGACCGCTATAGGCCTACTTACAAACAAAGGGGAATAGCAAGGGAAATTTTCTACCTGAAAATCTCTTGATTATGTCTACTTCGCACTCGAGCACGCTTCGGATTTAAGCACGCTTATGCTTTCTCCCGATGACCGTGCTTAAAGCCGGCATGGACTGTATTTCACTACGGTGACCTCGGGGTCCACCTATTCTAAAACCTAACTAGTATTTCGCTAGGTAGACCCTGGGGTCCACCTTAAACATACCTATTTCACTATGTTGACCCCAGGCTCCATGAATCCTTAATTAAACCTAGATGTACTTATAATTTCACAACGTTGACCCCGGAGTCCACCAATCCTTCTTTCAAGAGATCTACTTATTTCACTATGTTGACCCAGGAGTCCACTAATGCTAAAATTAAACCTACTTATTTCACTACGTTGACCCCGGGGTCCACCAATCCTTCTTTCAAGAGATCTACTTATTTCACTATGTTGACCCAGGAGTCCCCTAATGCTAAAATCAGACCTACTTATTTCACTACGTTGACCCCGGGGTCCACCAATCCTTAGTTAAACCTAGATCTACTTATTTCACTATGGTGACTCCGTGGTTCACATACATTCCTAAAACGTAGTATTTAACTAGGTAGCCTTTTGGCTAGATAGACCTCGTGGTCCACCTCTTGATAATAACTGAAAACAATACAGTTATCCTGAATAGTGAAGAAAAATGTGTGAAAAAAAAAAAGATAATGAGGTAAACTATAATTTGTCCAAAAAAATTGCAAGTGCAAGTGTAGATCATAAGATAATTTTGTTATTTTCCGGTCATCTTTTCACGGTTTATATGTTCCAGTGGGCCTATACTAGATCTATGTCTCTGAAGAACATTTTGCTTGACTTTATAAGCTTTTTTTATGTACTTGAAAGCATAAAATATAGTTTCACACAAATGTAGGCACAATACTTTGAAAAAGAAAGATAAAGTCATTGGGTGGTTTTTTTTAATGAAATCCATTTTACATTGAGAAAAGCGCTAAAAACAAGTTTTAAAATTTTTAGAATGCCCATAATAATATTAGGAAATTACTCCCTAGTTGGCTTACCCTTTAATAATCATGAGCAATTAAGAAAAAAAAAAGAGAGCGAAGAATTTGTCTAAATATGACCATTAGCAGTAAAGATATTGCCCATTTTGTCTGATTATCCTTGTGGGTGATTTTTAAAATCACCCTGTACTCTATCTCAATAAGTACAAAAAGAATATTTCAGTGACTTTGTATAGAGGTGTTTGTAGTTGAGTTCTGTGTAAAATTCTCCACAAAATAATGTACATTTGGACCGTACGACTCAGATAGATACTCACGCACATAATCATATTCACGCACGTACACACATTACACACACACACACAATACAAACACACTATTACATTTACTCTCTCTCTCTCTAGATTTCTCTCTCACCACAACCACACACAAAACAAACACATACATACTCACCCACCCACTCACACACACACACACACACATACAGCTCCTACCCTTGGTCCACTTTTCATTCAGTATCATTCCTTTATTTTGAAATAATCCCCCGCACTAAATAAAAAGATCTGTAGAATCTCGATCTTCTTGCGAATCCAAGGTTAGTTTAAAAAACATATATGTGGCCTAAATAAGGTACGGGTGGGGGGGTTTAGCTTATTTAGGCCATATGTGGCCTAAATAAGGTTAGGGAGGGGGGTTTAGCCTATTTAGGCCATATGTGGCCTAAATAAGGTCACCCCAAAAGAATTTATGAAAACAGATACTAGTACCTTTATAGAAAACATTTCAATTGTCATTCTGTTACATTTCCACAAAGCTAGAGTGAAAATACGTTGCTTTACATACGCTTCCACTATCTAGCCACAACATGACAGTGGGCCACAAAGGGTGAAAGCTCCAGGGTTGCCACACATCATGACATGATGAGGTCAAAGGTTGTGTGTACTCACCCTCGGGTCCTCCCATCCTCGCGAGGGGGATCATGAAGGTGACCATCTGTACCACTTTTTCCGGCACTTGTGAGGTCATTGGGGTCGTGATGAAGCCTGGCAGGATAGAGTTCACTCGGATGTTGTTGCTGCGGGGAAGGTAAAAAATACAACATACAGTCGAACATACTCTAATGCCCACCTATCACTTGTACAAATGACCACGCAAACCTGCGTTAATACACACCTCTTTAAGACAATCACCTATGCATTTGACTGTTTCACACAGATTTTAACATTTTTGGATCTAATTATTCTAATAAAAGTAAAAGTGCGTTCAAAAAAATATTAAGACACTGCCCAAGTCCAAGACGTCCATCTGTCAAAAACAACCACTTTTGTCCTCGACAATGGATGGCAATCCCCAACAATTTTGACATAGTGTCTCGTAGTTGAAGGGGGTAGAGGGTTGATCAGTGCACAAAAAGTACCTCGGTACATCAGTTTATTATTTCCAAAGTCTTAGAACATAATTCATTTATATCATACACCAACTGATGTCATTTGAACAATTGAATAGAAATTTCCAACTCTGAGATTAAAACAGGACTCGAACATTTACTAGAGAAAAGAGAAACTACTTATCTAGGACAGACCAAAGACTCAAGATCCAGTTCAGGAGCGGATAATCACTTGCCAAATGACGTGAAGTCGGGGAAGACATTCAACAGCGACAGCATGAACCCCATAGAAGACACTGACTACACCCAGCTGGATAATATTCCTTGCTCTCTCATAAAATGCTTTCATCACAGTAGGAGGGAATTCTTTCCTGTCTCCCCTCACATCCCTACCCCCCCCACAGCCTCCTCTTCAAATCTCTGGGCTAATCACAATTTACAGGGGCCTTCACTAGATCAGGCTGACACTATGCTACCTTAGAATTACAAAGTCCTATTAGACTTTTTTGGCCGTTTTGAGTTACTAAAACCATGAGGTAAGAAACCAAAGGTTCTCTCTGCTCTATCAAAACCGTAAGTTTATTAGGAGTCATTATAAAGATATTTAAAGACTTGCATTTTAAAAAGTTTGTCATTTTGCGAAACTCAAAATTTTTTACGTCGAATTTCTCAAAACTAGGTACTGAGCAGATAGAACTTTGTAATTCTAGGGTAGCAACTGGATAAAAAACCTAGATTACTCCTCAGGTTTGGAAAAAAACCCTCAGAATAAAACTTGTCGATCTCCTTTGATAACTTCACCACAGCACAGTTTTGAATCTGACATGTTCTTCCCTCTGCTGAACCACTCATACATTCACATGAAGCAGACGCTTATAAATTGCTAACCACAAGGTAAAGGTACTCTCCATTTTGTCAGTACAAAATATAACTTGTACGTATCGACGTCTACATAGTAAAAGTTAAGCTTTTCAACATCACATACAGAAGTCCTGAGTTCAATTCTTGCGTGACTAAACATTTCATTGAGTTTCTCCTTTTGTCTGCTTGGACACTGTATCCATCAGTCAGGGTTGGTCCTGACAGGCAGGGTCAATAGTGGGAGTATTTACTACTACTAGTGTTACTAATGAGGTTCTTACCGAGCTAGTTCCTGAGCTGCAGTTTTGGTGAAGCCAATCACACCAGATTTGGACGCTGCATATGCAGCCTGACCCTTGTTACCCACCTGTCAGAGGGGAGAGAAAAAAAGTCAAAATGTAAGTCGAGGGTGGCAAAATGTGAAACATTTGAAGCAGAAGGAGGGGTGGGGAGGTGGGAGCAGGAGTGTGGGACCATACAATTATTGTATAGGGCCATACCTCCATTGTGTAAAGAGTTCTGGTGACAGCTAAAACATTTCAACAGTATAAACACATCCAGACATAAGTATAGAATTGTCTCTTAGCTTTTCCTTCACACACACAATATATATATATTCAAGGCCACATCAGAATCCAATGCTTCTTTGAGTGGAAATATAAAATAGCCAAGAACAGAACAAACTCAACGTAAATGATATATATATATATATATATATATACACTCATGTTAAATGAATACACACTTACAAAAGTATCTACCAACTGCCCAAAATATCAAGCTTCAAACAAAGAAAAATACTATATGACTCCCTTTTCCAAAATACTCCTGTATATTATCACAAAAAGACCTTTTTCAAAGCCTTTCTGAGAGCAAGGAACCCTTACAGTTTCTGACAGAAAGCACACAACACACCAAGCCTTATCACCCACCTTGCCTATGATGCTGGCGATGTTGACAATGGATCCCTCCTCCACTTTGGCTGCACACATGGCCTTCCCTAACGTTTGGTTCACCAGGAATGTACCCTGAAACAATAAGAAGGCAAAAAAAGGCATGTTCACTAAGGGTCCATGTCTACAAATTAAGAGAGGGAACTGCTGTAAAATGTCTACTATTTATAGCACCTCAGTAGACAATAAGATAAAAAAATATTAATTTTTTAAACTGGTAGAAAGGAGGAACATATTGGAAAACTGCAATCATGAATCATCTTAAACAGTCATGTCTGTATGTACCAGAAAACTCTGCATAACAAGTATTTTTTTCTGAAGGAGAAATGACTATGTTTCTTAGTCTTAGTAGGGAACAGGTTACAAAGGCATCAAAATTTGCTTTAAATGGTAAATTTGTATCCACCTCACATTTGAAAAGGTTGCTAGATAAATAAAAAGTGTCCAAAATATTTTCAACAGTATCAACAAAACTGATTTTAAATTTAGAGCATTTTAAAAGACCTATTCTGCATAACCTGAACATTTCACCAGTTATGATCAAGACAGTTTCTGTCGTTTTAGTCTGGAAAATACTACCAATAAAAAGACAGATCATTTTTCTGAATAGTAGAGTTAAAAGATTTGCCAAGAAGTGAAATAGTTTTGAGTAAAGGTCTAACTGAAGAGATCATATCCAACCTAAATACCTTCAGGTTGACCGCAATGACTTCATCAAACATTTCCTCATCCAGCTTGAGCAAGAACTGATCCTTTGCAATTCCTGCAGAGTGAACTGCCACTGATGGGACAGCTTTGAATGTTTTTTGTACATTATTGATCAAGTCTGTCACCTCCGATGATGACGTCACATTGGTACCAAAAGCAGCATGTGCACATCCTGCAACAAAAGTTAGAATTATCATTACAATGTCCACATTTTGAGCATGAAAAGACAAAGTAATAACAGACCTGAACTTAGGGGCTCTCATGGTCGAGAGTTTAGTGTTCGCCTCTCATTCAATAGGTCCCGGGTTTGAATCCGGATAGCGACGGAAAATTTTCTTCTCTAAAATTGTCTCCTTTCACCTCCTTCCCTGCTCTCTAACTGCCTAACAATATTTTGCTGTCTGCTTTTGTTTCCACTTTCTGCTCCCACCCCCTCACCCCATTTTCCCCCTCCTCTGAGCTCCTGACTCATTCTACAGCCTTTCTCGGAGGTCTCGTGTGTAAGTTGCACACTTTAAAAAGACCCCTTGGTGGTCCAGAATTGATAAGAGTAGGCTTCAGACACCATCCGGGCAAAATTCAATTCCTACCAACTGAAAATGTTTAATGTGTCCCGCGCGCTCATATGACCTTATGCAGTTGTGAGGGCTGTAAAACACTTGCCCCCCCCCCCAAATTTTTAAAGACCTGAACTTACAGGAAAAAAGGCAAAAGGTTGAAGTTCAAAGTCCACAGATAGGGTTCCTTTTCAAAACAATTTAGTTGAGATCATTCAACAAAACTATGGAAAAGTCTAAAGTTCTGAGCAGAGAGCCCCTTGCAAAAATGTTACAAAAGTAAGCTATTATCTTTTTCTTGGTTCCCACACAGCCAGTCTAGAGCTCTCAATACAGTTCAATATGCCCATAATGGTCACTCAAGATCACTAAGAAAACTGACCAATGGCCACTCAAAATTACTGAGAAAACTGACTGTTACAAACAGGTGGACACTATGGACCTGGTCAGAATTATATTAACTTCTACACGTATAATAAATTCTCATGTTGTGCATGTAAACCTCCACCAACAACATATAGGTGAAAGCAAAACGTTCCTTCCCACATTACCAAAATTGTACTTTTTGTTGGTTTGCAGGCTTAGAGCTGCACACAGGCCCATCAAACAATACAACAGAAAATAAACAAACAAAAGAATTTTCAAATCCTGACTCAGGCAGCAGATGGATACTTTTTTGCCAGTTTTGTAAGAGTTTTACAGCACTTGAAACACAATTAGGTCATATAAATGCAGAAGATTAGAGGTGTTACAATAGAGTAACAAATACAAAAAAAGGCTTACTTAAAGTTTCATGCGTCACAACATGGTGGAATGCAGGTGCTCGCCAATTTTGGGCATTTTAAGGAAATAATATAACCACTTAAGATTGTTCATTTCTTTTGCTTTCGATGGAAAAAATATCAATTTATCTTGAATAGAAGTCGAGATAAATGTGACTGAAGGAGGTGGGGGTCACCTGATGTCTGAGGTAACATTGTGGTGAGAAAATGGCTTAGTTTGGTGACTTTCAAAAGCTTGGTAGTGTCTTTGGAAACAGCAAATTACATTGTTTTGTGCCATTTATCAATATTTCAAAGCAAAATTCACACAGAATTTGTTTTTCAATTGACAAAGATTTGGTTTAAGCCTTCGTTCCCCCCCCCCCCCCCCCCCCCAAAAGGGAGAAAGAAAATTTGCCTGACGTATGGGGAAAATGTCCGTTTCTTCACTTTCATTATTTTAAAAAGAGTCCAATTTCACCACGATGCCAACATTAAATATATATTATATTTCCATCAAACCTGAGAGAGCATCTGTAGAAGCATTGTACTTGGGAAGCAGAGAGACGGTTTCCTCCGCATTTTCTTTGTTGATGTCCGATACAGCCAGCAATGCCCCCTCTCTGGCCAGCACTGAACACACTGCTCGTCCAATGCCACTGCCACCTCCTGAACATTTGGTAATGAACATAACAGAAACCATATTATTACATGTACTAGTTCTTTACAGTTACAGCAGTACAGTGGCGGTGGGTGAACCTAGATTTGGGTGGGGCTTAGGTTTCTTCCACTTCTTTACCACCAAAAAGCAAGCAATAAGAACAACACAGTGATGATGTTTCTATACTCACGGCGAGCCACGGCATTTTGAGAACCATTCAAACGAGAAGAGTTTCCTTTGTCTGCCATCTATTTGTTCTCCGTTAAATTCTTCTGGATGGTGGGGACGAAGCCGTTTCACCTCCAAATTTCTCTAATTAGTTTTTATTTGATGTAAAAGTTGCCTCAAAAGTGGTTTGATGTAATTAATAACTGTTAAATCTCAGCGGCACAAACACACCGCATTCCAAACACGCCGTGTATGAGCTGGATTGGGTCGTGTTGTTGCAGAAAATAGAACGCACCTAACAAAGGCCCAATGGGCGCATAGGTATCTGTGTCACTGGGGGAAAGTGTGTCGTAAACTTTCACCCCATTGTCAGGGCTGGGAGAGGGTGAGCCCTCTGTGCAGTGTTATTTTTTTCAAGTCTTCTACCTTTTTACAAGAGGGGTTTCATTAAGGAGAGACCGTGGGAACGGGCTGGTTGATTGCTGAGCCCTAAAGACATTTGATTGGCTGTTAGGTTATTATAGTTGTAAGCGGAGACAACAGTGATTGGATAAACGAGCAAGCCGCCAAGTTGATCACTCTGTGTTCACTGCGGTCGATCAGAACAGTTTCAACTGCTTATTTCGTTATTTTCATTTGCCTTGGGATAGACTTGAGGGTGGGGGTGGGGGCTCAAGCCCGTGAGCCCTTCACTACCCACCGCCACTGCAGCAGTACATCATAAATTTTCAAATTGAGATATTAGGTGTTTATGCATGCATCATGCTGGGTATTAGGGCACACACAAGACTATAGCTTGTTCATTTTCGTCTGACAATGTTAAAAAAAATTCTAGCTCATTGAGGGATTTATTTACCTATGCCTAGACGGTCATATAATCAGGCCACCTGCGCGCTACTGACCTAGATTCCTTGTGGGCTGACACACCCGTGTAGTAAGCCCACAACCTTGTAGATCATTAGTAGTGATAAGCCTACGCAGGGTGCGGCGGTCAGTTTGAATTGTTGTTTTCTCATGCTTTGACACTGGATTATTTCTGCCTAATGCAGTTTGCTTTTCAAGTCATCTGGATTATGTGAATATTTTCTACATCACTGTGTGTGTTGAGGAACAGAAGTGGTGACTAATTAATTAATTAATTAAGATTGACCAACAGTCTTGAGATCGCAAATTTGAAGTGCTGTTTGGCTGCACTGTAGGCCTACTGTTCATTTTCAGATTCTTCATCGCCATCGTACTCAGTGAATGCCTGGATTCTTTTAGTTGAGGCCTAATGCAGTTTTTTTTTCCAAATCATCTGGATTGTGTGAATATCAAATATCTCTTCCATCAGTGTACGTGTTTAGATTAAACCTACAGTGAAGTTTTGACCGTGCACGTTTAATTCATATCTGTCTAAATCCATTCTAAAATCCATGTCTACACAGTGGAGGCCCCCCCTTCTGATCCGCACACTCTTCACTGACTTAGAGCCTCTCTATGCAAACAACCACTAAAAACGAACTCTCCATCCTATCCCTAGATCTGCTTTTAGATTTAGATTAGTTTGTAACACAAACAATAGACTAAAAGGACCATGTAGATATAAATCTATATATCTAGACTCTGAGCATCTAGGGGCCCACCCTTGTTAGGTAGGGAAAAGTATACGGATCATAATTATGGGGGAGCTCCTTTGTGTTTTTCCCGACCTGCTTTGTTTAATATCTGCTGTTCTTTCACAGTGCTTACATGCTTCTCTTCTAGGCCTATTTATTGCTTTCATCATGTGTGGTTATGACTCTGTTGGACTGTGAGTGACACCTTCAAAATAAACTGAAGGAATAAGAACAACAATGGGAAGAAAATGCTCAGTTGGTGGATGCAAAACTGGCTATGACAGTCAGAAAGGTGCAGAAAAAGTGACCTTGTATGGATTTCCTTCGGATGAAACAGAATGTCGGGCATGGACTGCTAGCTTACCAAACATTTTTATCCTATGAAAAGGTGTCAAAACATATCAGTGTGTGCCCTCCATTTCCGTAAAACTCTAACTCAACTCAAGTCAACTTTCTGTCTTTCCATCGCTTTTGTCTGTCTAGAATAATTTTTTACATGTCCGTTAGTTTGAGAGAGAGAGAGAGAGAGAGAGAGAGAGAGAGAGAGAGAGAGAGAGAGAGAGAGGGAGAAAGAGACCGCCTAGCCGTGGCCGTTGTAATCATTATTATCATTACGAAGGTCACTGCTTGCTGTGGGCCGAAGCCTGAGCGGCCGGTGTGTCAGCCCACAAGCAAGGTGTGTAGTTCTTGGGCTGCGCTGCCTGATTTATGATCGCCTAGACCTATGCCCATGAAACTTTGCATGACACTTCTATCTGCAGGCCAACAACCAAACAAAAATATTCAAAATAGTATCTTGATCCAGTAATAAAAAAGTTTTTCTGTTTGGGCCCTAAAACTGCTCTTTGGATGCATACACAGGAATGTCTTAATTTCAGTAACCTTGCCTATAAATTGCTCTTTTTGAGACAGCGACATGTTACCACCCTTGCTGCCCCCATATTTCAGTGTAAGGCAATCTTGTCAATTTTATCTCCGCTGTCTATAACATCTCCATGTGCTCCACGTGAGTCTTGAAAATTACTCACCCAAAGCTCTTGAATCTTATTTTTTAGGTGTACCTTAGAGTGTTAGAGTGTTAGAGTGTGGTGTTGAGGAAAATATGTCAACTTTTCAATGTGTTTGCTGATCATCTTACATCAAATAAAACGTGTCGAAACTTTAGTTTGCAGTGACTTTTTTCTGAATGAGCTTTAGACTTTTACTACATTCTGTTGATCATTCAACTTTTAGACCCGTATGCAAAGATCTGAGAAGAAAGAACAGAGCAATTTCATTTTATCTTGTTTTAACCGTGGTAAGACGAAAATGAACAATTATTATTATAAAACTTATTTAAGAAAGAGAGGGGGGGGGGGGGACTTTAAATTCATTTTATTACATGATTGAATGATTTGTTGGCTGTGACAAAGAACCAAACAATCAATAGCCTGACCAGCAGGCATTGAAAAGAGCACACTGCAGTCATTAAAATTTTATATCTCTAGCTTCACTTTTACACAGAGAGGCTGATCATTTTCTTCAAACAGAGCCTTGCATTTTGTCTGGGGGTTTTTTCCATCTTTTACTTTTACTTTTAGATCTAGAATCTAGATCTAGATCTAGATTTTAGATCTAGTATAAAAAGTCACATTTGTAAAGTTGAAGATGAGAGTTCAGAATGAAAGTTCAAAGTCCATTCTATCTTCTCTTTTGTGCCCGTTTGAAGATCTACACAGCAGCTTTTCTGAACGAACACCAAACAAATTATTATTCTGGCATTTATTATGAGCGATGTAGATCTATACGTCTAAAATGACAACAGAATTTCTCGAATGGACAGTACATACCAGTGACAAGAGCCAAGCGCCCTGCTAACATCCCTGCAGCTGCCATAGTTTGGTTTGATTGAAGTTAGGGGGAAATATTCACGTCGGAGAATGAACCTCAGGGCTAGATAAAGATCTTATTGTGTCGGTCAGAGTAAACAGAAAGTACAAGTGCACTAAGGACAACAGAACCGGAAATTTCCGTAAAAATTGAGGTAACGGAAGTGCCTACTTTCGAAATTATTTGGACCAACCTGTTCCGTTCACGCACCTTGATATCAAGTCACAGATAAAAGGGCTCATTGGGGATAATATGACAGATTGGCATAGGCCTTGGGCCAGAGACTAGGCTTTCTTACATGTGTCTCTGCTGCGTGCCCCACCTCCTGAAAACTTGAACTTGCGCATACCCTTTACTACAGACACCATAAATATCTTTCTTTATTTCAAATCATAGTTAAAATGAGCTAAGCCGGTGGTGAAAAGGTAGCCGAGCCTGGACTAGGCAGAAAATACCCAATGAAATTATATGCTGAAACCGTGTGGGGCTTTTTTGTTAAAAAATAAGCATTTTTTAGGTATGAAAACGTAACATTCGGCACTCCTTGGATATGGTGGTCCCGACTTTTGTGACAGAAATAATTCAGAGAAAATCTAGAATCTAGTTTTGACCCCACCGACAATTAGATCTAGATTATCTACTTCTGGTTCTAAACGATTCCTTTTTGATGCGCGTGCCGATATGGTCTATGGAGAGATAGCCTATCAAACCATCAAATCGTGGTCAAATTCAGGGCCCCCCTGAAACATCATGCTTTTTTTTAGGTCAGTCGGGACCACCATATCCAAGGAGTGCCGCAACATTCACCAGAGACAGTTTTCATCCCAAGATTGCTCTAAGAACTGCCGGCATCTCATTTTCGTAATTATGAGTAAATGGGCCTACTGTTCTTAAGTAGAACTTTCAGGGTAACCGACAAATATATGCTTTATACGGCCCATTTGTTCATACAAAGGACATAAAATTAGGTCTTAAACGCTACACGTCTCGTCCGAAAAATGATAAAAAATAGTAACCCTATCTTCAGATCAATCGATCGTTTAAAAAGTGTAATTTTTCAGTGTAGAACTAGAAACGCGATCACTTTAGTCATTTCAACAACCAAGAACAAAATTACTACACCGATTACGAAATTTTGGCAGTAAATATTATAATTGCGCCATTGAATTTTTGTCACGTTGTAACGATTAAGACCTGCGTGTTTACTTCTGCCTGAAGTAGCTCGAAGTTTTAGTGCGGTGTTTATATGTCAAATGCACTGGTTTCCAATCAATTTGGCTTTCATCTTTTCCCCGGCAAGACAACGATGTCTATAGAAAGTGAAAATGAATGACTTCGTCGCGCAATTTTAGCAGTGTAACGATTAAGATGTAAGTAATGATTAAGACTTGAATTGCTTTAAAGTTTGCTTTCTTTTTTATGACTGCAAAATGTGTGATTCATTGATGAAATCTTATAGTCCCTCAAGGAAATGGATGAGTTTGGATCCTGCCAAAAAAGGATTGTTGGCTTTCATAGTGTTTGTTGTATCGAAACGGAAATTGGACAAAGAGCTTGATTTCTTTATTTTAACGATTTAGACTTAGTCTTTTTGTTATAATCTTTATAGAATGAGTAGCTTCTTTAAGAATTTCATTTCAAGGAGTTCATGAGTAGTATTACAGGGGCCACTCGCCCAGGAGGCCCCATGGTAATGTCGCCCAGGTGGGGGTTTTTTCGAGAGCGTGAAATTTGGAATAACTTTCATCTGAGAATCAAATGTCATTGTTTGGAAGTGTTTTCTTAAAGAGCTGAAATGAAGTTAAAATAATGTTCATCTTGTAAAGAACATAAAAACAAATTTTTCATTAGTTGAAATGAAAGAAAAAAAAATTAGAAAAATTTGTCAGTGTTTGATGGAATACAAGTCTGTGATGCGTTGGACTTGGAAAATAGTTTGGTAGTTTCAGGAGCTAGCAGTATGAAAGGGAGTTGGACTTAGAAAATATTTTGGTTTAAAGGAGTTTTCAGTGTGAAAGGAAGTAGGACTTAGAAATGTAATATTGGTAGGAGTTGTATGGGTACCCGTCGAAGGAGAGCGGGAGCAACAACAACAACAAAAAATCTTGTCAGTACATTAGTGTTTTAGGAGGGGTTAATTGCAGCTTGTGCTGAAATTTTTTCAGGAAAATGGAGATTGTATTAGAATTCGATGTTTTGCCGAGCGTGAATGTGCGCTCTTTATCGACAAAGTTCATAATTTTCGTGTCAACTCTGTTATCGTCTTGGAGGTGAGGAGGTTAGAAATAGTGGAACTAAGACAAGTAAGGGTCACGCTGTATTTTGAGAGTGGAACATGGAATACATTAATTCAAGTTGTAGAAACTTAGACATTTTTTTTATTGGTTTCCTTTGAGAGCTGACTAGAACCGTGAATAATGTTTATCTGGTGGGGGGGAAAAATTTTGAAAAATTTGTCATTGCATGATGGAACACAAGTAGGCTACTGGATCGGAAAGTGGAGTATGGAACAATTCTGTGAGGGGTTGGACTTGGAAATATTTTGGTAGTACGGGGGAGAGACAAGTATGATTCGAGCTGCATTTTGAGAGTGGAACACGGAATAAGTTTCATATTGTAGAAACTTTGATTTTGTTTTTCTTTGAGAGCTGACTAAAACTTTGAACTTGGTGAAAAAAACATTAGAAAAATTTGTCATTGTTTGACGGAGCACAAGTCTGCGATGGGTTAGACTTAAAAAATAGTTTGGTAGTATCGGGAGCTGGCAATACGAAGGGGAGCTGGACTTAGAAAATATTTTGGTAGTAAAGGAGTTTTCAGTGTGAAGGGGAGTAGGACTTAGAAATATAATATTAGTAGTAAATGAGTTGAGTGGAACATGGAATAAGTTTCAAGTTGTAGAAACTTAGAAATTTTTAAACTGGTTTCCATTGAGAGCTGACTATAACTGTGAATAATGTTCTTCTGGTGGAATGTTTGATAGAGCACAAGTCTGTGATTGGTTGGACTTAGAAAATATTTCGGTAGTAAAAGAGTTTTCAGAAAGGACAGAGTTGAACTTAGACAAATTTATTTTCCTTAGGTAGTGTAAAGAAGTTGTGAGTTGGACTTAAGAATATTTTTGGAAATGACAGAGATGATAATATGGAGGGGTGGGCGTGGTAGAGGTTAGTGGTATTTGTTTTTGGTCTAGAGTTTCTTCAAATAGGTATACAATTACACCAAGGCAAGTCATCGATTTTATAAGTAGTGTGCAATGTAGGCTACTTACGGGTCTCTCTCTCTCTCTCTCTCTCTCTCTCTCTCTCTCTCTCTCTCTCTCTCTCCTCTCTCTCTCTCTCTTTCTCTTTCTCTTTCTCTCTCTCTTTCTCTCTCTCTCCCTCTCTCTCACACACACACACACACACACACACACACACACACACACACTAGCAATTATTTGATGATAGATTTGAGGTCAAGCAAAATTGTCCCTCGTCGAAGTAAGATAATCGTTCTGTTTGTTTTTGTTGTTTTGTTTTTTTTGTGCGCTGCGCTTTGTCAGACGGAAGGTTGGCGATAATTTAAGCCCCTTTTTTTCTTTGTGGGGTAGATGCAGGGGCGAAGCGTCTACATAATCGAACATCACCACTTCCCTTCCTTTAATTTTGGGGAACATCGTCGTAGTCAAATTCACCTATAGATGTAGGTCTCATACATTTTGATAAACTTTCTTGAGCAGTCATTGTGCACAATCATCGAAACTGTTTTGCCAAATAGATTATACCATTTTTCCTTCCTTTGGGAGGGCAACTCTCATAAGCAGTCACAAGCAGTGCTTGTGTAAGCCAACAGTTAGGCCGGCAGTGTACCCTGCAGAGGTGCGGGGGAACTAAACTCCAATAATAATACCATGGTTGCTGTGAGAAGGTGTTGTTGTTGTTGTTGGTGGTGGTGGTGGTGGTGGTGGTGGTGGTCTCGTTGTTGTTGCTGTTTGTTTATTTTTTCTTCCTCGACTTTTTACCGCCCTATAATCAGGTTTACGATAAATGGCATCGGCTCGTGGCCACGAAAGACTAGATAAAGACAGCCAAATTAAAAAAGTACAACAAAACAACCAAATTGATAATGTACTTTTGCAGTGTTGACATCTGTGCTTCTTCGCCTTCTGTGTGTGTGTGTGTGTGTTTGTGTGTGTGTGTGTGTGTGTGTGTGTGTGTGTGTGTGTGTGTATGTGTGTGTGGGTATGTGTTCACATCTTTTAGTTAAACTTACAGTTTAAAAAACAATCTTGAAACCATGATTCCCGTGGCATGTTTAAAAGTTAAAAATCTTACGTTTTGCCTAAAGCTGGAAACAACATCTTCAACAAAATATTATTTTCTCGATTTTTTGGGCGGGTGAAAATATGCGTCTGTCGTGTTGTCATCTCTGCTTCTTTACCTTTTGTTTGTGTTTTTCACATCTTTTGGTTTAAAAGGTCATGATTTCCCTTGCAAGTTTAAAAGTAAAAGGTGTACATTTTTTAACATCCCCCCCAAAATTGTAAATCTGAGGTAGCGGAGTTCTGTGAAGGAGTTTGCAGTTCCGATTTAATTGAATGAGGTATATATTAATATAATATATATGTTTCTGGTTTTGTTGAGGGTCTACACTTATGTACGTGTGTCCATCAAAATCTTTACCACTGCAAAACTCTGTGATCGGCATCTTAAAATGATTTAAAACAATCCGCTCGCCCACCCGTCCACCGTTTATTGCAGGCCTAATATGTCACTGTATTGTCACCACCTTTAGTTAAATTTGCGCGGTCGTTACCATATATGGCGACCATGACCAAACCGTAGCTCTAGAGACTTACTTTAGGCAGTTATTGTAGCAGACACTTTAGTAGATTGGGCTGGACTAAAGGTAGACCAGTGTAGTGCGAGACCTTCAACTAAACTAGTGGCACCAATTTTGCTTTCTTAAAAAAAAAGTCAGTTATAATTAACCCTTCAAAACAGATCCCAGTGTTGACATTCTGGATGTCTATTTTTTTTTATCAGGTCGATTGACAGTTCGATACAAAAACGACAGATTCGTGCAAGAAAAATAGATCGGATCCGTGTTTCCTCCAAATTCCAATTTAATATCTAAATTGTATCCATGCAGACAGGGTTATCCCATCGATTGAGAGTTTGTGGCCCATTCTGGTAGGCTCTGTAAGTGGATCATTATTA